CATTGCCAACTCTTTCTAATTTTTTTTATTTTTTATTTTTTGGTACAGGGGATGGAACTCAGGGGCACTCAACCACTGAGCTACATCCCCAGTGCTTTTTCGTATTTTATTTAGAGACAGGGTTGGATCCCCAGCACCATACACGCAATTTTGCTTAGCGCCTCACTTTTGCTGAGTCTGGCTTTGAACTTGCAATTCTCCTGCCTCAGCCTTCTGAGCTGCTGGGATTACAGTTGTGTGCCACTGTGCATAGCTTAAATATTTTTACTTTTGATACAGTCTTGCTAAGTTGCCGAAGGTCGTACTATGTAGCTGAGTCTGGCTTTGAACTTGACATCCTCCTGCCTCCACCTCTGGAGTCTCTGGGATTATAGGTGTGTGCTGCCAAGCCTGGCTCCTCACTTTTATTTTTTTTTAAATATATTTTATTTATTTTTATGTGATGCTGAGGATTGAACCCAGGGCCTCACATGTGTGAGGCAAGCGCTCTACCACTGAGCTTTAACCCTAGCCCCTGGCCCCTCACTTTTAAAGAGCAAGCCAGGCACAGGCCTGTGATTGCCATCAGCATCTGATAGCCCTTCCCCTTCCCAGTCTGCAGAGCACTTCCCCATCAGTGTCTCACTTGGTCTTCCCAGAACCAGAATGGTATAGAGCTGGGGCAGGAATGCTGTGTAAAGCAGGGACTTTAGATTAGACCTGGAGATCAGACCACGTCCAGTCCTGGCCTGTGTTGTCTCCATCTCTGCCTTACAGATGAGTGGGGAGTTTACTGACTTGCTTCAGGTTACATGGGCTGCCAGCAGTGGAGGCTAAAATGAGGCTTCCTGAGAAGGAAGGGAGAGCGGCATCTAGAGGCTCTGGTTAGGAGTTGGTTAAAGTCCTGCTTAGGAATTTGCTTGTTTTTGTGTGCTTATGATCTGTTTGTTTTCCTTCAGTTTCCTAGTAAAAGATATTTTTGAAAAATATCCCCCTATTTGGCTGAACTGGAGGAGGAAGGACTCATCTCCTCTATACCTTGGTCTAGATGTTCTAGAGCCCAGGTGCAACAGCCCCAAAGGGGTTGGGACTGTGGGTTGTCAGCCCCTTCTGGTTGTGGGCAGGAACCTGTCAGCCCATCTGGCAGCCTTGGAGCTGGGCTTGAAGTCATCTGCCACAGAGCTGGGCAGGGGGATGGGGAAGGCTGCTGTTTCCTGCTATGGCTTTATTAGCCCAGTAGTGAGACTCCAGCCTCCCTCCCTCTTTGCTCTAAAGAGAAAGATGTCTGCAGAACAGTGTAGACAGTAGATCCCCAGCAGAGTGACAGAATCCAGCCTGGCCCAGCCAGGGACGGAGGATGCCTCTTCAAAGGGAGGGTGTGGGCTTAATGCTCTGTGGCCCTCCAGTCAGGAAGCATCAAAGGCAGGTTTAGGCCAGCAGTGGGTGAGGAAAATGGAAAGGCTTAAGGGACTGGGGAGGGACCCTGGTGACATGACACACTGTACCGTGACCAGAAGCCTGAAGCCCTGGGCTGTGTCCTTAAGCAAGTTTCTTTTCTGTGGGCTTCAGTCTCATCCCTAAAGGTTAGATGAAGCATGCACCTGCCTTGAACTTGGCTTATCTAGTGGGAAATATTTATGTTCATCTATTTCCTCGTGCCATGACATGAAATGATGCTGGTAAGCAGTTTTATTGTGGCCTCACCCACAGTTGATGTAGTACTCTGTAAGAAGTGGTGGTGTTGAGAACTGATGATCCAGCATCGTGTCCTGAGGGGACCTGCCCACCGGGGAGGCTGTAGCTGTTGCTTTCCCAAGTAGAAGCTCCCAGGGTACAGGAGTTCTTTTAAGTCCATTTATGGCCTTTGTCCCTGGCAGGAGGCCTATGAGGAGGAGGAGAAGTGGGGTCTCAGTAGGTTAGGAACCGAATTGAGAGTAGAGGGTTTGGCTTAATAAGAAGGCATCCCCAATCCTAGGGATGATGAAAGTGGCGCTGGCCTGAGGCTGGGCCTGTCATTGCTGAGTTGAACTAATTAAGCCTGAGAGAGCCACTTCCTGGTCTAGGAGCAGTTTGGTAGAGCTTGTTCTGGGTCCCCCCTGCCTCCCTTGGCACAGTCACTTTCATTTTTTCCTTCTCCTGGGTCCCTCTTGCCTTCTCTGTTTTGAGGGTTCTGCCTTATCCTTGCCAATACTAGAAGGTGCTGATGGGGCTAGATGCTGGCCTTGTTCCAGGTTGCTGCATAGTCGATTTCCTCATTAGATTGTGAGCTCCTTGAGGGCAGGGGCCAGGTCTGAATTGCCTCTTGGCTCCCATGTCCAGCATGGAGCCTACATCCTTGGCCCCTGACCAGAGGGTCCAGTCGCTTGTGTCCTCAGTTATTGGGCTGGCCAAGGAGGAGCAGGCCTGAGTTGGGCCTTCTCCCTCACAGGTGGCATGAGTGGGGATGGGAGTGTGTGCCGGATCAGAATACATGGCTCCTTGTGTCCAGCTTCCTCTTCCCGCCTGGCCCAGGGCTTGGGAACAGTGGCTTTCTTTCTGGGGCAGCCAGGGCCCCTGGCCAGAGTATGCTCTATCGGCCCTGTCAGCTCTTCAGTGAGCCCCGGTCCTGCTCTTAACCTAGAGAAGGCCCTGGGTTATTGGTGGTGTTCTTGGCGGACCACTGGGCCCCTCAGCAAACAGGGAGGCGAGTGTGCACCCGGCCTGGGCCTGTTTGTGTTGGCCTCGAAGGCGGGGGATTAGCTCAGCTGGGCTGCTAATTGCCTCCAAAGTGCCTGCCCGGGATGCTGACAAGGGCTGGGCCTCTAGTCCCCTCCTCCCCCAGCAGGCACTGGGCCAGCCTTGGGGGCCTGGCCCAGAAGGGCCCCTTCTCTCCCCTGTCAGCGCCTGCTTGGCCTAGACCCTTGAGATGCGGGCAGGGGGTTACCAGGACTGGCAGCTCAGGAAGGAATGGGGGGAGATGTCTATGAAGTCATCGCCTGGGCTGGGCCAGGCACGCTCCACAGCCTCCCCCACATCCTTAGACACCCCCACCCCACTCTGCCTCAGATGCCTTCTCCTACAGCCCAGCACTTTGTCTAATAGGAAGCTGCTGGGCTCTTCACCTCAAGCCACTGCCGTTAGGTCCCTCAGTGCCTTCTCTTTCTTGGACTTTTCTCCCTCTGTTCCTCTTGTCTGCCCCCCAGTTTCTAGCCCTTCTTTGCCCCCTTTGGTTGCCCTGTTCCCTCCCTTCTGTTCAACCCTGTGGTCCTATGTTCTTGCCCTTGCTTGGCACTGGTCGACCTTAAGCCTGCTGTGGTGCCCCAAACTTTGTGGACCACTTGTTTTCAGGAAGAGGTGGAGTTGGAGGTCCTCCTTGTCACTGTTCCGACAGCTCTCCCAGACACCTTCAGGTCTGAGCTCTGAGCACAGCTGCCCAGGATGGAGCCTGGACACAGCCTCTGCCAGCCTGCCTAGCCTGAGGACTGAAGGCCTTCCACGCCCATGGGGGATCCCTCTGGGCCTCCACACACCAGAGCTTTGGAGCTCTGTCCCTCCCACCTCCACTTCTGAGGGTGCACCTTGGCCTCGCCCTCTTGCTGCTCACAGTGGGACCTCAGCTCAACTTGCACAGCTGGTGTCTGTGGCCCCTTTGCCCTGACCTTTCTCACTGCCGTTTGGGTATCCTGGCCCCTGGGAGTCCCTGCTCTCCTTCCTGTGGCTTTCTACCCAGGGAGACCAGCCTGCTTCTAATCTCTGGGATGGGGCCAAAGTCAGGGTGCCTGCCTCGGCTCCTAACCATTCCACATGTCCCTGCTTCCTCCCTTGTCCAGCCCCCTTCATCTTATAACTACCTCCTATGTTCTGGAAGGGAGGATAATGGCATTTATAGTAAGAATTGCCATTTGTGGAGCTTCATGTCTGTTAGCTAAGGCAACATAATCCTCAAGAAACAGGTTCTGTTATTTAGCCCCATTTACAGTGTGCGTTTGGGGGAAGCTCCATATTACAGATGAGAAAGCAAGTCCCAGAGGAAACAGTGAATTTTCTAAGGGTTCATATAGTAAAGAACTTATATTTCTGGGATATAAACCTGGGCCTGTCTGACTCCAAAGCTGTAACCTTTCCATAGTTCTAGAAAATGCTAGGGCATGGATACCGTTACTTTATTCCACTATCCTAGACCCTCTGCATCTCTAGTCCTTCTTCCCACCTTTGACTCTTGATTGTGAGGACAGAAAGTCCTTTTAATTTTTTTTTTTTTTTTAGTTGTCAATGGACCTTTATTTATATGTGTTGCTAAGAATCAAACCCAGTGCCCCACACATGCTAGGAAGCACTCTACCATTGAGTCCCAGCCCCAGCCCTGGAATGTCCTTTTCTATCCATTCTTAACCTCCCAGTTCTTCACAAATCGTGTGTACCCGCTGTCCTGAGAACACTTTCCCTCATCCAGAGCTTGACCTCAGTAAAAGCCCGGCACACAGCCCAGCTATTTCCAGACTGGTGTGGATTTACTTCCATGGATGTGAGGGACTAGCTCTTTCGGTAAGGATGAGGACCTCGCCAGCTGGAGTAGGGGCCGGGTCCTGAGGAGCCACCCTGGGTCTGCGAGCAGCAGGGAATCCCTGGGGCTGAGGTTTAGAGTTACAGGTTCTCCATCCTGCTGTTCTCTGGTCCCAAACCTGGAGTTTACCTCTAGCCTCAGACTTCAGATTCCTTTGTCCCTCAACAGGAACTAAGTTTTGTTGCATTGTCCCCTATGTCCTGTGTCGGCACCCTCTTCACCAGACCCTCCTCCCCGTGTCTATATCACGAAAGGCCAAAGTTTAAATAGCTGGTCATGGCTTGGTGAAATGTGTATAGAGCCACTGTGTGTTAGTGGAAAAGTTGCAGACAGTATGTAGGAGGTTCCCCAAACCAATTCTTCAGAAGAAATTATCAATGTGGTCCCCATATTTAGAATCTGCTACTACTTAACTGCTTTGTCCATGGCCTTTGCCAGGTCTTCTCCTGTTTTGTTAAAGAAAGACTCACTGCCACAATTGCCAGATAAAGAAATAATCATTTTATCGTGCATCAGACTATGTCATGGGGATGTCACAATGGCAAGGAGCCTAGTATAAAAATTGAAGGATGAGTGGGCAGCAGAGTGGGGAAGCAGCATCCAGAGCTGGGGTTTATCCAGCCCTAGGCCTCAGAGAACATTACTTTTGCCTTGGTATAAGAATGGTGGAGAAGGGTTCGGGCAGGATGTGAGCCTACTGACCACTTTCCAAGCCCCATGCAGCTATGACAGGCCTGTGTCAGTCCTCCTCTTTTTTCATTTGGGACAGTTTGGAGCTGAGCGGGTCCAAGGAAGCTGCTTTTTTCTGTGGTTGTGAATTTCTTTGGCCTTGGTGGCAGTGAAGGTGGCAGTGGCAGTAGGGCTCTTCAGAGGTTCCTAGAATGTGGTCTGATTGACCTAGGGCACAGCCTTCATAACCCCAGGAGGATCAGCTCTGAGGTGCTCCCTGGCAGGTGGAAAGGTGGCTGAAGCCTGTGATGGGGCACACACCTTCTCGCTGCTTCTTGGGGCATTGCCCATCCAATCAGCAAGCAGCCTGGGCCCGCGGTTCCCCGGGGTAGGGGAAAGTAGCTCAGCTCCCTGGAGCCGGGTGGTCCCCACTCTCCCTTTTGTCTGGATCTGGCTCTGCCAGTGAGGCATAGTGTTTTCCCTGGCGCTGAGCAGGCAGCTGAACTGAATCCGCTAAAGTGGCAGTGGGCCCAGCTGGGCAGCTGTGGGGACCCTTAGTCAGCTTAGCTTTCTTCCACATCAGAACCAGACGGCCCCGAGATTATCTCTGTATTTGAATGTGGCTCCAGCATGTCACTTGGTTTTGGCCTCTTACTTGGTTAGGCATTAAGCAGAGAGCTTGGTTGGGGGCCAAGGGTGTTGACCCTCTTTGCAGGGGGCGCCAACATCAGGCAGCACAAACCAAAAGGAGAGTTTCTGCAGGCTCGAGTTCAGATTCTGAATCTTTGACTTGGCTTTCAGACACTGAACCCTAAAATCAAGAGCTTGGGGTCTTGGAACCCCAAATGGGGATCCTAGAACTCAAGACCTCAAACAGGGTTGGGGGGCACTCTTTGGGTCGATAGCAAGGTCGACCTGGTGGTTGGGAGCCCAACTGAGAAGTAACTGTGTCTGTGCACAACTGTTGACAGAAGTCTGGACTGCTGGTGCTCTTTTGGGGATCTTAAGTCCCATGCACCCAAGGCCTTGGAAACCTGGAGGTCTGGGGGTGGAGGGGTCTCCACTGCCGAGACTTCACTGGTGAGCCTTCCAGTTACTCGCCTCTTTTCTCACAGCCTGTTTTCTCTCTGTAGCCTCGTGGGCTCTAGCCCAGCCTGTGGTCTCTGGCCCCTGCTGCTTCCATTCCTTTTCTTGCAGCCAGAACCCCTCTCAAGGCTCAGGTTCAAGATACCTTCTGTGTCTGTGCCTTTGGGTGCAGGGGCCATGGAGGAGCCTGGCTGGAGAACTCTTGTGGCTCTGCCTCTGCTCAGCTTGCTATGGAGCTGGTAAGCATTGCCCTCAGCTGTGAAATGGCATGTGCCTGTCTGTCCCAGGACTGGTGTAATAATCAAGGGAGGTGCCCCAATACAAGGCCTTGGACGTATTTACTCAGTAAATTTAGTTAAGTGAGTAAGATAATGGAGGACTCTCTGCACAGTCCTTTCCTGTCTCTGAGTGTGAGATTTCCATTCTCAGTTTCACAAGAGAACAGCACCCTGAGAGGTGACTCACATGGGGCCTGACTAGGAGGGGCTGGGGAGTACCAAGATGGCTCTGCTAAAGGGTGTGCTGGGGCAGGCTGGGCTCCAGGGTGGGACTGTAGCCTTCTCTTGCCCTCACCTCACCTGTACTTCCTATTGGAAGGTCCCACAGAGGCTGACCTTCCAGCTGCCCTCGTGAGAGCTGAAGTGAGCTCTTTGCCTTTGACCTGGTACCTGCCCAGGCTCTTTCCAGGGAGTTCCAGAGGCAAGGCTACCAGGGCCAAGTTGCCAGAGGGCCTTGTGTATGTGTGTGGTGGAGAGTTGCCAGTTCTTTTTCCAGGTGATATGAATTCCATCAAGATGACACCTATTTTCCCTACCATAGGGCCACCTGTTTCCCTAGATGGCGGGGTCAGTAGCCATGTGGCTGTAACACTCCTTGTTACCTATCTTAAGTCTGCAAGTAGGAAAATGGACACAGATAACAACTGAGTGGTCAGCAGCAGCCTTATGTGGACAACCAGAGCCATAAGCAAGGTCCTTTGGTCAGTGGCAGCCACAAAGCCTTGGGCTTTGTGGGAGGCCACGGTTGGTACTCTTAGGGTCGCCTGCCTGGTTTCGGCAATAAATAATATGAGGACCCAAAAACCAAACCAGAACAAAAAATACAACCAGGATCTCTCGGGGAGGTGGTGGGAGACTCTTTAAATTACTGGCCTTCCCTGGGCCACTCGGGTGGTTGCTGAGCACAGGCGGTGCAGTCACCGGCACGTGTGCAGCTCTACGAGCCGCTGGCACTGTCGGCACTTGACGAAGCAGCACCAGTGGAACTTGCAGCTGCAGCGCTCGGCCAGCTCCACCTGTTCCGTGTGGAAGCCGCGGCCGCAGCACAGCAGCTCACAGCCATCGATGGCCTTGGACGTCTTGTTGCATGTCCGGCCCCTTGTGCCCAGCACGCCACTGCGCATGTCCTGTTCGCAGAAGTCTGGGCTGGGCTCCAAGTACACCAGGTCCTCATCTGTGTGCGGCTTGAACTGTGCGTTGCGTGGTACCAACGCCCGGGAGGAGCCCACTCGGCGGGGCTCCACCTCGGTGGCGCCATCAAACTTCTCCTTCAGTGCGTGGCCCACCTGGCGGAATGGTGGCACGGCTCGCCAGCACGTTTTCACTTCGCAGGAGCCTGATACCCCGTGGCACTTGCACTCCACCCGCATGTGTGACAGGATGGCCTGTGGGGGAGGGGTGGGGGAAAGGGGCCATCAGGAGATGGTAGTGGAGGTTGGGGAGGGCCCTGGGGCACATGGATGTGGGATACCCCAGAATCCAGCCCCTGGGGATTGATTCTGTAGAGTCAGAGGGTTCTTGTCATGCTTTCTCTGTATAAGGACCTGCTAATTGCCATGCTGGGCTGGAAAGCAACTGGGGACAGATGAACAAGGTGCTGTCCCCACATGTGGGCACCCAGAGATGCTAAAGGGCAGTGCCACATGAAACAGTGACAAGTGATATGATGGGAAGGGCACCTTGGGAGTAGGCTTTGATGGGGTCATAGTTGAGCTTGTGATGTCTGGGGTGACAGGGCTGGATGAGCCTATGTGCTCAGTACACAGGTGCATATGTACAGGGCCAGGGCCGCGCACACTCTGTGTGGCACCCACTCCTTCCCCGGCCTGCTCCACACACCCCATGGGCGTGGGCCTACTGAGGTGCCTGTGTCCGTGAGAGCCTGAGCATTTCCCGAGTGGCCATGTGGTGAGTATTTGGGGACCCTGCCCGTGCCATCCCTACTCTGGTTCTGGGGGGTAGTGCCACACTACCTTCCTGCCGGCCTCGTTGTTGTGGAGGTTCATGAGGGCCCGGCTGGACGAGGCCCCCTTGCTTCTCTCGCGCACGTCAACAAATGACTGGGAGAAGGCGACGCCGTAGGCGATGTTGTCTGAGCATCCCGACCACTGGAAGCCTGGGGTGCAGAGGACATGGAAGAAGGTCCCAGTGAGGGTGAGCCAGGTTCCCAGAGCCCTGCCTCCCCCTATCCCCATCCTGAGCTTACCCTGAGGACTGACCCCATGCACTGTCCGATCACAGCCGCACTTTTCCAGCTCCCCGCTGCTGCAGGCCCGTGTCACCGCAAAGGCAACACCTGCTGAAGAGATGGCGTACACAAAGGCCGCCTCCCGAGTCCCTGGGGAGACAAGAGGGAGGACAGGGCTAGGTCCCAGGGCTCCTTCTCAGCACCCTCCTTAGTACGTGGGGCCTGCTGGGAGCTATGGGCCAAGGAGCGAGCAAGGCGGGCAGAGTGCTGCGTGCCAGGGCTGAGTGGGCACCAACAGCGGGGACCACCTCAACCACTCTGTGGACCAGCTCATCCTCTCGGCAGCAGGAGGCAACTTCCTACGGAGGGGTTACTTAGGTTGTCACTGCACGTGGCTGAGCCGGCAGAGGGTCTGGCTTCAGGGCCATGCCGTGGCTCCTGTGCCTCACTGTCCTCACTGCCTTTCCAGGAGTCGTGATATGAGGTGTAAAGGAGACCAGGCAGGCTGGGTGAGGTGAGCTGGTTCCGTGCCACAGCTGTGAGGCCGCCGAGTGGCGCTGCAGCCCCAGCCTTCCTGACTTTCTTGACCTGTTCCCCAGCTGCTCCCCTCCAGCTCTGAGGGGTTCCTCTCCCTGACTCTGCCCTGGCCCTTCCTAGGCTGGGCCCATTGCTCAAGATGTCTTGCCTTCTGATGCCTTTAAGCCAGATGACATCAGCTCCTAATACTTCATCCCTCTTACTGATGAGCCAGGTGTCTAAATTACATCCTCAATTACAGTGAAATGCAAATTCAGAGACGGAAGGACTTGGTCGCAGTCTCCCTACCAGGAGGCGACAGAACCAGTGCTCCAGCACAGGTCTGGGCCTCTCCTCTGTTCTGGTTCTTTCCTTCTGCCCACGACTGCTCAGTGATTCTATTTTGGTGCTGGCCCTCCTCCCCTGCCTGAATGGGTGTTTTTATCCTCCTAGGAACTGTGCCTGGGGGTGTAGCTGTTGTGGAGTCTCTTTCGGGGGGTGAGTAGAGTGTGCGTGGCTGGCTGGGTGTGTGACCAGACAGCAGGCCTTGCTCCTCTCCTGGGTCCTGTGAGGGCCTCTGTGTGCCGTGACTGTCCTTCTGTCTCTTGCTGGAGGGTCTGTGTCCGCAAGAGTGGCGGGGGCAGGCTTTGGCCTCGTGGTTGGCAATTACCTCTGTGACACCCAGGCCTGTGCTCCCAGCTGCCCCAGGGAGCAGTCACCGTGGTCAGACAGAAACAATCACTGTCTCTGTACCCATGTCTGTGGACAGAGGCAGCAGAAGCTGAGTACTAGGGTGGGAGGCAGCTCGGCCCCCAACCACTCAGGACGCCCTGTTCTTGGTGTGGCCCTTGAGCTGGGGATACTGCCCCACCCTCTTCACTGCCCACTCTCTGCCCTGGCTTGGCCACTTTGGGCCAGTACTGGGGGGCTTGGCTGGAGGTGGAATCTTCTCCAAGTTAATCGAGGTTAATAGCAGGATCACGTTGGTTGGTTTTATGCTGTGGCCGCCCAAAGAGAGCCGATTTCAGTTTCTGGTATTTCTGGTATTTCCAGGCCTGAACCAGCACAAATCTTTACCCCAAAGACTAAGGGGGAAGGGATGTCCGAGTAGGAGATAGGGCTGATGGAACTGGCAGGTGGCCTCAGCTCCTGACCTTGCTTGGTCCTTTCTCCTCTCCTTTTCTTGGTTTTCAGGAAGTCTCTGGCCCAGCCCCAGCTCTGGGCTGACCTCTGCTCCTGAGACCCAATGGCCCCTGGGGTGCAGGCTTTCCTCTGAGGTGGCCAGGGAGACCACTGCCTCATTCCCTGAATCAATATCCATCTCCTGGGATTCAGAGTCCCTTTTGCCTTGACCACAGGGGAACAAGGACACCATAATATTCTCAGCTTGGGAGTGGCCCTGAAGGAAGAGACTCTGAAAAGAAGATAAAACAAAAGCTAAAGCTTAGACCATAATACACTGCTGGGCGGTGTCTGGGCGCTGTGGGTATATGTTAATTTGCATACTCTTCACAACCCTATGAAATCAGTACTTTTAACCTTGTTAGCTGGGAATGGTGGTACATACCTGTAATCCCAGCAAATTGGGAGTGTGAGGCCAGTCTCAGCAATTTAGTGAGATCCTGTCTCAAAATAAAAAGGGCTGGGGACATAGCTCAGTGGTGGAGCACTTCTGGGTTCAACCTCCAGTACCACGTATACACCTACCCCCTCCCCCCACTTCATTTTATAGATGAGAGAACAGGTGCTGAGTGGTGAAGCATCCAGCCAGGAAGTGGTGGGGCCAGAATCTTGGCTCTAGAGCTTCCATCTTGACATTCTCTGCCTCACAGAGGCCTTAAGTGTCTGGGAATACACACGCAGTCCATCTCCTACCTCCCAAGGATGAAGGCAAGAAAGCTGTACCTTAAGTTTCATGTGCTGCAGGATCAGCTCTCTCTTTGGGGGGTTTTATAAGAGGTGATGAGCAGTCAATCTCTGCTCAGCACAGGAGACCTCAGAAGGCCTGGAGGACAGGGGCATGCTGCTGTGTCCCCAAAGGCAAAGCCAAAGGCAGTGGCTCCTCCAGTCCTGCCAACCCCATTTATTTCCTTTCTTCCTT